CAAACTGTGGAATAAAGACTTTTTTAAACAGGTCAGTTTTATAGGCTAAGAACTGTTATCCTCCCTCAGCCCATTTCAAAGCCCAGCCCTATCTAAAGTATACTATCAACCCCTGGGACTCAACCCACACTAGTTGACTAGCAACCAGGTACCTACTTCTAGGTAACCAGGGGCAGCAGGTGTAAGGAAACATGTCCAAAATTTCCACCTATGCCGGTAGTTCCCAAGGTGATTATATAAGTCCAGGTTATTGAACACGGAATTTGATACTTGCATGGATTATTATTATAATCAAAGAAAGTGCTAAACCGAACATTTGCATGGAGGGAATACCGATGTTGTGATAATCTAAGATCTAGAGATTTCCCAGTTTGATCTAGGTAGTATTTGTCACACTCAGTACATAGAACATTATATACACCCCCAATTATCTCGGAGGGAGACTGTCTAATCAGAATGTGTTTCACAGTAGAAGTGTTTTTAAAGAAACTGTTTTTTTTTTCAACACACTGGCTGTATCCCTGGCATTTTAGTCTCCTCTTACAACATATATGGCTTATGGAAAAAGAATTCTTTTCCACTTCCTCATGGAGAAAAGACAGTATTACATTGAGAGCCATAGGGAGGATAGCTAGATTAGAATTAAATGGTAGCACCAATGTATTTTTAAGATGTGCTTAAATTGGCGTGGTTCTACGAAATATATTGTTAGCTGACAATTAAGAGTTTCTAATGAAGTCTTTAGGGCTTTTCAATTTAGATGCAATGTCAAAGATCTCATATCCAAAAACTCTTGGTTACAAACTGGCAAATCTCGGGAACATTGTTAAAAAAATGCTCCTCTTAACTTTTATTTTGTGGTTAAAATAATAATGAATATATGAACATGTATTAGTGGATTGCCTATCTGTAGAGTAAATTTGAAATTCTTGTCCACTCTATGAACAAAGATACCTAAAAAATTAAATTTTTTTTAATCCCTTTCCATTTCATCTGTGACCTTGATGCAAGACTTGGTAAGAAATCATCTAGGTTCTGATTAACAGGCCACAAGCGTTTAACGTTAACAAACCTGAACCATTTTGCTGAAATTGGTAAAATGGCTTTAAGCAATTTATTCACTAGAAAGTCGATATATAAATTGCTCAGTACTGAGGCGGGAGGATTTTTCCACATCCATGCCATATTTTTTGGATATAATCTACCATCAAAGTTGCAGCCTACTTTGCAGAGCTTATGTATATATATATATATATTATATATATATATATATATAATATATATATATATATATATATATATATATATATATATATATATATATATATATTATTATTATTATTATTATCACACTGGCCGATTCCCACCAAGGCAGGGTGGCCCGAAAAAGAAAAACTTTCACCATCATTCACTCCATCACTGTCTTGCCAGAAGGGTGCTTTACACTACAGTTTTTAAACTGCAACATTAACACCCCTCCTTCAGAGTGCAGGCACTGTACTTCCCATCTCCAGGACTCAAGTCCGGCATGCCGGTTTCCCTGAATCCCTTCATAAATGTTACTTTGTTCACACTCCAACAGCACGTCAAGTATTAAAAACCATTTGTCTCCATTCACTCCTATCAAACACGCTCACGCATGCCTGCTGGAAGTCCAAGCCCCTCGCACACAAAACCTCCTTTACCCCCTCCCTCCAACCTAAATATATATATATATATATATATATATATATATATATATATATATATATATATATACATATATATATGTGTGTGTGTGTGTGTACTCACCTAGTTAAGGTTGTAGGGGTCGAGTCCAAGCTCCTGGCCCCGAGTCCAAGCTCCTGGCGTGTGTGTGTATGTGTGTGGGGGGGGGTTAAAAGATAAAGAATCCAACACAAAGTGGGAGTTGTTACAGTTGCTCTTT